ATATGTAGAATGTAGAACTTCCCCTTCTAAAACAACACAACATGTAACAAAGAAATGCCATACAGGAAATTTACTTCAAGAACAATCAAATCAATGACAATTTGCTCTAATCAATCCCAACTCTAGAAGTGTTCTACTCTTTTGGATGTAGACATTTTTCATTTGTAAGCTAAACTAGTATAGATGGATGAAAATAAAGAAGAAAAGGAAGACATAGGAAAAAAGTATATATAGATAGCAAGAAAATTTAACAAAAACACATGCTAATTAACAGACAAATAATTCATTGAATGAAAGATGGTCCATCAAAAGCATACATATTTATCCATGGGTGATGAAGTACCAACTAGACTTATAAGGAATAGTAGAGATAGAGTAAATAGAGGTTGTGCAGACAACACAACATATAGTAGCATCAAGCAAAGCACTAGTCATTGTCATCACTAGTGCACCATCGGGGAAAGCTAGTTCTTCTTTTGACACATCAGGTAAGACTCTGGTATCATACCAGCCAGGGGTGCTCCAGGAACCAGCTTCTACAAATAAATAAATCAATATTTTATTTTCATTAATAATCTTGACAAGTGCTTTAGCATGATGTCTATTTTTTTGCCAATAGTAAGCATGCATGTAGTTCTCCTTTTTTCCCATTTTTCCCTACCTCCCATATTTTGGACTATTTGACCAAAAATATGTGATTGATATGGACAGTAGATTCAAGAAAGAGATCCCACAAAACAAACACTTGTACTAAGTCAGAACCAAAGCTATGATTGAGATAGAGAAACGTTTCATAAAGGGATCGAGAAAATGAATGCCTATTATTAGGCTAGCCAATATATTAGTGCTCTTCTACTCCAAAATACAACACTTCTCTTCACACTTAACTAGGGACACAACATTGCTTTGCTACAATCTCGATGCGGAGGTACTAACCAGCTGCTAGTCACTATAGCTATCGCTAGCACAGATGACACACATTGCCACACTACCATAAATTGGAAAGATAGTGACTCTAAGAGGGTGTGGCAGCGACAGAGACAAAACATCCACTAACCCTTGTTAATATATCTTTACTCCCCATACCTCCCTTCATCAAAATTGAATGTGGTAATGTCCCTACAAGGCCCACAATGTGGAACATGTAGCATACGTTGGAGACACTATGATGCATCAACAAATTCCACAACATCATGCCCATAGGCACCTGAAGTCCTGAACTACTCTGATGCATAAATAGGTTCCACAACAACATGCCCATAGTCACCTAAAATCATGTTCGATCAGGTCATGGGTCATGGTCGAGTTACATGCGCAAGTCATGAGTTTCTAAAAACACTAGTGGGAGGCTTTAGTTTGGATCGAGTGACCACAACTTATTTGTGTCGAAGAACTTTGATAAGCCACATATGGATAGTTATAGAAGATCAATACAAAATGATAAAAAAATAAATTTGGTAGCATACAATGGCCTATTCAACTTGGGATAATGTTCTAGTGTTACTAAATGTGGTGTCAACCCCGACCTCTGTACTATGTGACGAGAGTCAAACATAAGGGGTACATTAAACCAACAAATTAATGGCATGATAGTCCGATTAACCCCCTGGCTGATTCTCCAAATTAGTTAGCATCTCAAGGGCTACTCTCGTCACGTACGCTCGTGTGTACACTCCAAGCCATAAGTGCATGGCTTGGTAGGCCTTGGAAGGCCCATTCTAGAGAATGCCCTAATGACTGAGGGATGAAGCCGAGGTGTTAAGTCCATGTTCAAGCCATCCTTGCTCGGGGACTCGGGGGCTCAACCCAGGCACAAGAAGTTCCTGACCTAAGGGAACCCAGGCAAAGCAAGCACCCACGTAGTCCCTTAGCCTTGGCTCAGGCTGAGTTCCCACTCAGAGCGACGCCACGAATATCTCCTGGAATCTATCAGGTGTCCAGAGCTTAACAGGCGTGCAGAGAAACAACGCTCGTTTCTCTCCACCCCTATGAGGTGGTGTCATCCACTCCTAGAATAGGGCCATGCCTAGGGTGTGACATGCCATGACAAGGATTGTCACATAGTTACATAGAAGAAAATCATAGGCCCGCACAATAGCCGCCATCCATGAGGGGGCGGATGCTTGGCATATCAAGGATGCCATGAGAAGGCACACCTAGGGAAGGCATGATGGCATAGGCAGCACCTGACAGTGAGCACTAGGTAATGGCAGGACTTGTCAGGGAGCAGTTAGGAAATTGTTAGCCTCTAGCTATGAGACAAATAGGACTCATGGCATTATGAAGGGGAAGATCGAAGACTAAGGCAAGAAACCCTAGGAAAACCCTGAGCAACCATATGACTTGTACTCCTATCGTCGTCTGAGATATAAGGCAGGGCATGGGCTCCAATAGAGGGGACGGGAGGGAAATCCATCTGATCTTGATAGATCAAACCCTAGAGTAGCATAGCACTCCCTCTACATCTCCCTCTTTCCCCATTGTAAGAACTTGATTGAGCATTCCTAACATAAAGAACGCCACTGCTGGACGTATGGCTTAGACGCTCGAACTAGGATAAACCCCTTGTGTTTTGAGTGTTTAAGCCACCAGAGGCACACACACACATCGACCCACGCGAACAACCAAATTACTACCACGGAAATGAACCCATGACAGTTGGCGTGCTAGGTAGGAGGCAGCGTCCTGTGTGATCGTCGCCCTTCGGTGGCCTGGGCCACCATCCTTGCCGCTAAAGCCAGAGGCGCCACCCCCGAAGGCGAAGTGGGCTTCTCTAATGAGAGCATCTTCATTGTTAGGGCCTTCACCCTCGGCCAAGCTCATAGCTTCAGGAGTCAGGACTATGTCATTGATCATAGCAATGAGCTCCATCTTTTTTGAGGAGCCTCATCAGAGGAAAGTAAGTCCTCGACATCGTTCCCCCCAATAGGCCTCCTATGCGCTGACTAGAGGTGCTATCCCTAAACCAACTATGGCAGAGCATTGTTGGATGTTTTACACTTTGGCCAATGTCCATCATTAGATTACCACCAACGAGGAGATACCGTTGCCCCCCCTGCTTCTGGTGCGCCCTTCTAGATCTCCCGTGTGGGGTCTAGAACTCCACAACAATGTTTTAGCTTGAACTGCAACTGTTCAAGAGCCGAGTGGCGTGGCCCCTATGATGTCATCCATGCCGGTGCCACTAGGACTGATGTCCCCATGCTATGTACCTTCCTTGAGATATTCTCGGGGGCTGACTCGGAGTACGACTTAGATGAGGCTGATAATAGCTACTTTCCGAGGCCCGAGTGCTTCTACCTCCATGGGGAACATCATTCCACCAACAAGACTGAGGTCACACCCTCGGACCTAACTCTAACTCATTAGACCATCTACCTCTAGGAGAAGGCCAAGCGCCTCAAGGCCCGACAAGCTAATCTCGAGGCTGAATGCATCCACTCGAGCTGAAGGAGGAGATGGAGCGCTGGTAATCAAGTAGTGCGCATACCTGTACGCGCACCATCTAGCATGAAGTCAACAATGATGCAGGGGCTCTTGGCGTACCGTGTTTCCTTCGAGCGGCATACGACATGGCCCTATGAGATATTAGGCAGGGCGTGGGCTCCTATAGAGGGGATAGGAGGGAAATCCATTGGATCCTAGCAGATCAAACCCTAAAGTAGCATAGCGCTCCCCCTACATCTCTCTCTTTCTCCATTGTAAGAACTTGATTGAGCAATCCTAACATGAGGAACCTATTGTTGAACGTAGGGCTTATATGCCCGAACCTAGATAAACCCTTATGTTTTGAGTGCTTAAGCTGTCAGAGGTACGCACACATTGACTCATGTTGAACAACATGATTACTACCGCAAAAACAAACCCACAACACTTTGATTGTGCCTAAAACTTTGACCATGATTAGTTGTCAATATAGATATAGTTAAATGCATTAGCGGCCCTAGAACTTGCCAAGGGGTGCCTCTTGTTTCCATAAACTTTGAAAACATATTTTTTTGGTCTCTAAACTTGTTGAATGGTACATCGCACATCCCTAAACTTATAAAATGGTGCACCGCAGGTCCATTTCTAGACCATATTGACAACTGTTGTGCACCACTTAACAAGTTTAGGTACCTAAAAATACGTTTTCAAAGTTCATGGACCTAAATGCCATCCTTTGACAAGTCTAAGAACTACTCTGCATTTGACTTGAATATTTTGTCATCCTAAACCACCTTTCCTTTCTAGGAGATCCTCGTATACAGAGCAAGAGTTTTGATCAACATAATTCTGAACTATTCATGTCTAAAGTTGGCTTCAACATAGAAAGGGTAGACCAGGATTAGGAAGGATAAAGTTCACAACAAGCTTATTGATATCCAATATAGATTGTTGCTAGACTTCTTGTATGAAATGATAAATTTATCTAACTTGATGAACAAAATTTCAAAAGCACATGCATGGAAAGAAGGCGTATTTTACTGCCATGAGAGATCAATTAGTAGTTGCATGAACCAATACTTCCCACCTACAAAGTTTTGAGGTCTTGGTTAGTAGGGAACTTGCATTGGAGTTGTACAATCATTGCTTTCAATCTATTTTGGTGGGGGACAAAGCGAGTTCCATGGAAATGTCCTCATCTTTCCCTGTTTGTGCAATTACAGCTATACTAATGCTCTAAATAGTGTGTTGTTCCAAACTTTAAGGCTGCCGCCGCTCTAGGCTGGTCGACGATTGATATGCCTATTGTCCTATTGAGCTTTTCAACAAATACTTGGGCCAGGCTGGCCCGACCGTTTTTTTCTCGGGCCACTAAAACCAGTGCTAGGCCCGTCCAGTAAGTAGCCATGAGCTAGACTTAGCCCGGTGGGCTTGGGCCAGGCCGTTGGACTGGGCCAGGCCAGATTTGCTCAGGTCTAGTCTCTACCTACTAAGATCTCAAATTTATAATTGTAATTAATGCACCAACTAAACTAATCAAAATATTTAATGTACTAGAGATAATAAAAATAAAACTAATCAATAGAGGGGAGGAATGAAATTAGTAAAATTAGGGGGCAGAGACTCACATTAAGCATCGTTTGCGTCTGGGCTAGTCTCCGATGAGGGTGTTCATGTGGGAGCTCACCAGTCATAGCATATAGGTCCTCGGAGATCTCTTCATCTATCAGCTTCAACGAGATGATGCCTAAGTGTCCATCTTTTCCTCGACGCAGCCGTAGACTTTGCCGTGGCATGGTGCCCCCCGTATTCTCCAAGGTAGGTGCTTCTTTAGGTCCATCAGTGAGGGGTTGACAAGTGTTGGGTTTGGGAGCTATGGCGCATAGTGCTTGGACAATGATCTGTGGGTTGGAGGACATGGTTCGCGACCTGAGGAGATATGAGGAAGGATGCAATGGTGTGGGTGAAATCGAAGGAAGGAGAAGGACGGCATATATAGCCAAATTCTATGTAGAAAGCACCCGTTTCGGTTATCTTTACAGCTAACCTGACATTCTCAGTGTGATACTAGACGACTTTTCACACGTAGGCAATGTTCTCAGCACCAAACCAAAAAGATTATTAGTCAACTCTCCTTAAATGGCAATTAATAAGTGTATAATAATATGTATCCATATATTGAATAACTATACTCTAAATCGTATGCAAAAAATACTAATATTTTAATCATTTTCTTAGATCAACAACACTAGAATTGTAACATTAATGTGTGTCATGACCCAACGGTCGTTCCAACTTGAACTTTTCAAAAACACCCCTTGAAACCAAAAACTCTCACCAACCTCTTCGTGAACCCTAAACCAAGTACTCGATACACTTCACAATGTATCTAAATCATGAACGTCATCAACCATGGCACCGAGCCCTAGCTAGTTCTGGTTTAGCTCTTCTCTAATATTAGACAACCTTATCATTTCAACAGAAACCTTGATTTATCTCCTATAGGACAAGGACTCCAAATTCAATTCTCAATTTCCCTAATCTTCTCTAATCAAACCAAGTCAAACAGGGTCAACCTTAGTCAACTTGATGGTTGACTTAACAAAATTATCCAAGTTATCACCCTAGAGGTAATCTCTGAACCTAGAATAGTTTGTACTGGCTCTATAAAGTAAATTAAAGACCCCAATATCAATCTCTCATCTTCACATTCAAGATCCCAAAATATGTGTTATGTTGGATCATCTGACATCTTGATGGGCCATCCACCAGATCACCTAGATAGTAGAATCAATTTGGATGAGTTGTCCCTCTCTCCCCTCTCTTGGTCCCACTTGTTAGCTCAAGATGTGATATTCCTAGCTATGTGTTTAGCTCTCCCACTCACTCTCATCTCTCCCTCTCTATCAAGGTGGAGAAAGCAAAAACAAGCAAGAACTAGGGAGAGAAAGGAAGAGAAGGAAGCGATAGAAAAGAAGAAAAAGAAGGGAATATCAAGACAAGCTCAAGATCATTGTCTCAAGGAAAAGATGAAGATCTTCATCTCCATCTCCATCCTTGGCGGAGCTCAAGAAATCCCCTTTTCTTTTCACCCCAATAATCAACCCAAACCCTAATCTTGATTTCATCATGCATGAGTGGAAGAAGAAGATGGCCAACAACTCTATCATCTCAAGTGTAAGCTATATCTCTATCGCTCAATCATCTCATAAACTCATCGCATTTCTCTCTAACGGAAGTTATGTGATTTTTGCAAGAAAATCTTGATTTTTGCTCAAAAACATCCTTATCACATGGAAGCAAGAAGGAGCAAGGCTTGAGCATGATCTTGGTGGCCATAGGGTCACCCAACTCCCAAAGCAAAGTTACCATGATTCAAGATTATGGATCATCCTTCTTTTTATTTCAAGTTTAGTTCAGTGGTGAAGGATGGACGTGAGGCTTGGACTAAGGGACCAAGATGGCTAGAAGACTGACCATAGTGGCTAACACTTCGGATCATCAACAAGCAAGAGAAAATGCAGAGGAGTAGACCATGTTGACCAATTCAAGACGTTGATTGACCAAGTCAAGCGGGGGCGCTGGAGGACTTGGTGATCGGGCGGTCGAGGACGATGGTGACACATGTTGAGAGAGTGGATGTCGTAGAACCGACCAATTTATAAGAGTACAAGTACAATGGCGGCCCGCAAGTGGTCGCACTGTCATACTTGAACCCATATAAACTCGGTAGTCCATCGAGTACCACGACGGGTCTCGATAAACAATTTACAACAACCAAGATCGTACATGATTCAACATACATGTCACATATTACATAAAGTTTACAGATACATTTTCATCATCAGAGTATGAAACCAGTTATTACAAACTGAGTTTGATAGATAAAAGTGGAAGCAAATTAAGTTTGAAAGTAAAGTTTCCAACATAGTTTAGTACAGTGCCGAAATAGGATCACAGTCCACAAAAGCAAATAGAGGGATTAATAAAGAAGCCTGCCCAAGGCTTACTCCTCATCCATGGCAGGATAGAAGCAACTCTTGCAATAACCATGATACACAGTGCCATCTGCAACATTGGGAAATAAAACACTGAGTACGAGAAGGTACTCAGCTAGACTTACCCGTCATAAACCAGAAATAAATTGACTCCAAGGATTATGCAAGGCTGTATAAGTGGAGGTAGCTTGACAACATTTTGCATAAAAATCGATTAACTCAGTTATACAATTATAATTCTGTTACCAATTAATTATGACTATCCATCTACATTAGCAACTATCCTATGCCAAACATGTGGTATATCATTTTAAGAGCATACAATAGTAACCATAGCAGGTGTAGTAATTTCATGATTATCTGAACCATCATATTCCATAGTATAATTACTACGATGTTGGGGCTAGCCAAGTTTCTCACTATCCGGGAGAGACGGCGATTCGAATTGATTTCAACCAGCTGGGAATTTATTCCTAACACAAACCCAGGCATACCGCGCGAAGGCAGCCTTAGGTCACCTTTGGTACAACTCAGGTACACATTTCGTGGATTCGTACAGCGCTGCGCAATCAGGGACTGACGGTAGCCAGGTCGCTCAAGCCATGCCTGCCCATGGTCCCGGACCAGGTCGCTCAGGTCATGCTTGCCCACGGTCTATTGATGCGCTCCCCATAGAGGGCACACAACAGAATGAGGCCCGGCCTAAGTTGAGCTACTCGGCTTCGCGGTCGGAACGAGTTATCCGGCCAGCTAAGTGAGAGGCATGTGTTCAATCTTGTCAGAAGTGCCAACAACGGTACGGTCCTTAATCAACACAGACGGGGATAGATCCACACCCAAGACCTCCATATCTTGTTGCTTCTCTATCGACATCCCGCCCGGTCTCCATTTACATTACCCCATGGTTCTTTTTCCATGATAGCAAATACAGCCAACTGTGCTTCGGTATCCACCTATATCTCGCAGGTGACAGGAAATCACCCGACTTCTACCGATCTAAGCAGGGCTAAGCATATATTCGATCCTGGACCTACACAGGGTTAAAGGTGTATATATCTGGACAAGGTAGTTCCATGCATCAAGTGTTTCTAGACAACTCCTATAACCTAATGCATCAATCATAAAGGATTCAAGTATTATTTTGTAAAACATTGGGAGACTTAGAATGCTTCGGGGCTTGCCTTTCAGAAAGGAAGTGGGGCGGTGGTCAGGGCACTCCGGAAGCTCTTCAGGGATCTGCTCCTCGCCTTCGGGAGCTACGGCTTGAGGATTCTCCTGCTGGTCCCCTTCCTCTACTTCGTCGAATTCCAGCAACGTTATCTCCTCTGTCGATCCTATATGCATGAATATGGCATAAGGTATTGCGAATGCATACATGCGTACAAGTATAGCATGATGACACATGATGGATGCATTCGTATTAGTATTCTTAACAGCATGGTGTTAACAAATGCATCATATTTTACCGAGTAGGTGCATATCTCTTCTTTATTACTTAATCAAACACATTTACAATTCATTCACTACACACAAAACAGCAGCTGCTTGTTTTACTTATAACTGAAGTTCTACTTATCCAAATGTTGTGATCTTAAACTTTATGGAAATCTTATAAAATTGTCTACAACTCTTATTTAATCACCAAAAGCTAATTCACACTTTATCTTAACCAAAACAGACAATCAATCCAGCGTTGTCCAGAAATTCCAGAGAGAAGCATTTCGGAATACTAACTTTAAATAGCTATAAATCCTAAACTATTTGGTCTATTGCTTTGAAATTTTAACACAACATAGATGAAGAAATTACCTACAACTTTATTATTAACCATTTTTACAGAAAACATGATTTTGACTACGCAACATTCTAAACCACAGAATCTGTCCGAAAACTCTTCTCTCCCGAATTATAAAGCAACGATATTTCTATTGCATATAAACATTCCAAATTTGACTTCACCAATCAGACCAACAGTACAAGGACGTCAAATACACTCAAGAAAATATAATGGCCATGCCCAAACTATTTATTTAAATGCCTTTATCAATTTACTAAGATACTTAGGTTAAATAATAAACATATACCAAATGTGCATCGTAAATTCTCAGAAATTTACAGTGGCTTACTAGTGCTACCAATAGACTACTCTAAAAGTTTCATGCCATTTTACCAAGTAAAACATCCTATCCAAAAATGACAAGGCATAAAGGCTTAAAATAACATAAATAGGAAACCCTAGTGAAAAGTGTCAAAAAACAGATTTTAGATTTTTCCTAGCATACATATGTTACTAGGACAACCTCCAACAAATTTCATGAATATTGAATTCATAATTAATTTATAAAAATTCATACAAGGATTACCTAATTATAAAAGGAAAATCTATAACTACGAATCCATACATGTACTGACCCTCAAACTTTTACCAGAGCTCACATATGTCTAGAACAGCTTACCACAAAAATTTCATAATTTTTGGAGCAAAGGAACTCTAGATATAAAATAAATAAGTTTACATACATTTAAAAACACATTTCAAGTTTCAATTTAAATCCTCCAAAAATTATACTACAAGTGTCAAGATTATAAGTTTCCTAAATACTACACTTCCTAAGGAACACTACAAAATTTATTCCACAATTTTTGAATCTACATAGCTCAACTTATCAAATTTTCAAAGTGGCACATGAAACAGGAACAAATGCACTATCTTCTGTACTGCTATCACTGACAACAGGGACCCACTGGTCAGTCGGCCCCACCAGTCAGTGACCGAAAGCAGAGCAGGCGACGCTGCTCGACATTGCACGGCCACGACTCCTCGACGGCGAGCTTCACCGGCGATGACATCAACATGACATGAACTTCGTGACCTAGCGCATCGATTGGTCTACTTGGTTGGGCCTCTCGTCGGCGCTAGC